GGGGCTGGCTGGCATGTGGTGCTGGGGGATTGAACCGCAGTCCCTGTGCTTTGCTAAGCCCGCTCCAAGTAGGTGCTCCAGACCACTGAGCCATCTCACCAGCCCCTACATAAAGAATTTAAGACACACTTGAGCTATGAACTGAGACCCTGTCTCCAAACACCAACAAAGAAGAGTATCTTTCTAAACAAGAGTCAATATAAGTACTGATGTTAGTATTAATAGGATAATATTTAATTAGCTTATTCATTGTAAGACATTTTGTTAAGCCTGTTAACATGATTTGGAATCAAGTAATTGTACTTGGTTTCAAATTCAATTCATTTACCTTTTTTCATCTTTAAACTTAATAGAAGATATACATTGCTGAATAGTAGCATTTTAGTTTTTTTTTGTAGGCAGTGCTAGGGATCAAACCGAGGGCTTGAAGCCTTACTAGGCAAATGCTTTGCCTTTGCACTACACCTTCAGCCCCAAGAATGGCACCTGGGGCCAGCGAGATGGCTCTGTGGACTAAGCACCTGCTTAGGCAAGGGCAAGGACTGGGATTCAATCCCCAGCACCACATGCCACACCAGCCCCGCCCCTTGGCAAGCTGAGCCGTTGACTGAGGCAGTGGCACACCCCTGGAGAGGCTGAAGACAGGAAGAACTATGAGTCTGAGCTGCATAGTGAAACCCTGTACCAAATACATTAAAAAAAAAAAAAAAAAAGAATAGCACCTGCACATTAATATGCTTGTTCTTACAGTACAGATACAGTACCCTTGCCATGCAGGCTAATCAGGTTTTTATGTCACTGTTTGGTGGGCTGTCCAGGAGGTATCAAAAGAAAATTGATGTCCTCAAAAAGCACGTTGAAAAAGCCATGGGGAAGGAGTGGTCTGCTCACCAGTACCTGGCAAGCCTCGTTGGCCTGGCAGAGAGTGTGACCCAGGAGCGAGACAGTCTGAGGTATTTGGTAAGTTTCCTCAGTTTACAGGAAGTAAGTTCCGAAGTAATATGCAAATGTGATTTTAAAAAAAGGTATTTTAGAAACTACTCTTTAAAGAGGTCCCTGTTTAAAATATCAACCATACATTTCCAGATTCTCCAAAATCTGACCTTTTTAAAAAATTAAGGTTATTGGTATATTTTAGGTATATGTATTTTAGGTATACGTATTTTAGGTATACCTATTTGTACCTGTAGATGATCTAACTTGATTCATTTCTCTCTATCCCCCTGCCGTCTCTTCAACCCCTCTTCCTCTTATTTACAAAAGCTTGGTTTCCATTTTTTCTTTTCTTTTTTTAAATGTATTTACTACAGGGTCTAACAGTCTCACTACACGGATCAGACTTGTAGTGATTCTCCTGTTTTCAGCCTCCTAAACGCTGGGATTATAGGCACATATTACCACGCCCAGGCTCAATTGCAGTCTCAGTGCGCGCCAGGGGTGGGGCCAGCAGGGCATGTTGGGGATAGAACCCCAGCTGCTGTGCTCTGCCTAAGCAGGCACTTTAGTCACTGAGCTATCTGACCAGCCCTATTTTTAAATTTTTTATTATTGCGACTTTTTTGCAGTACTGGGGATTGTGATTCGTTGAGAGTTTAAATTTGGGGGATCTGATCTTTTATTTGATTGATTGATTGATTGATTGATTGATTGATTGATTTTGTGGAACTGGGGATTTGAACTCAGGCCCTTGTGCTTGCCAGGGAAGCACTTATTCTACTGAGCCATCTCCCCAGCCCTTATTTATTTATTTATTGGCAGAACTGGGTATTGAATTCAGGCCCTTGCACTTGCCAGGGAAGTGCTTATTCCACTGAGCCAGCTCCCAGCCCAGATCTGACAGGCCAGATCTGATCTTTTTGGAGTGTTTTTTTTTTTTTTTTTTTTTAAATGTGTTTGATACAGGGTCTCACTATGTAGCTCGGACTCGTGGTGATTCTCCTGTTTCAGCCTCCCTAGTGCTGGAATTACAGGCCTGTGCCATGATGCTCGGTCTCTGTGGCCGGCTCACCACGCCCAGGAGCAGGGTCAGGGCAGCATGCAGTGTGGGGTATCGAACCCCTGTCCCCACACTTGCCTAAGCAGGCACACAGTCCCCTGAGCCATCTCACTGGCCTGTTACGAGTTCTTTCTAGATTCTTGATGGTGGTCCTTTGTCTGCAGAAAACCGGCAATTTTTTCCCATGTATGGTGGGTTGTTTCTTCACTCTGTCAGTTGTTTCTCTTGTTGTGAAAAAAACTTTGCAATAAGATGAGATCCCAGTTGTTGATTCTACATGATAGTTTCTGTTTAACTGGGGTTTTGTTCATAAAGTCTGCCTACACCAGTGTCTTCAAGAGTTCTATCTTGACTAAATGTGACTAAATAGACTAAATATGTCTCCCAGCATATTTTAGTGTTTCTAAATATATTTAGAAATTAGATCTTATTTAGATCTTTGATCTATTTCTATTTTGGTTTAGTGCACGATGAAATATGTGGGTCAAGTTTTAGTCTTTGGCATGTGCAAAGCCAGGTTTTCCAGCACTGTTTGTTAAAGGCCCATCTTTCTTCCAGTCAAGGTATTTGGCTCCTTTGCCAAAGATAAGGTGGCTGATTGTGTTCTGCTCTTACTAAGTTAAATGGACTCATTCCTTTCATTTACCTTCTAAAATAACATTTGCCATTATAGAAAAGCATGGGATATTTTTAAAAATTTTTTTTCTCAAGGTTAAAAGACTAGATTTTTGTAGGGCCAGTCAAATAGCTCAGTGGACTAAAGCACCTACTTAGGCAGATGCAGGGGCCAGGGTTCGATCCCCAGGGGTTTGGCCCCACCCCTGGGGTGTGCTGAGGTGGCTGGGCGTGGTGGTGCACACCTGTAATCCCAGTGCTTGGGAGGCTAAAAACAGGGGGATCACTACGGGTCTTATCTGTGTAGTGAGACCCTGTAGACCTTATACTAAACACACACACACACACACACACACACACACACACGATTAGATTTTCTGATCTATCATCTATGAAAATCCAACAGGAGGAAGTACATAAAGCAGGCAGCTCTTAGAGAAAAACGTGGGTCTTTATTTTTCATAAAACAAATGCCAATACTTGTGTCAAGGCACTGTTCTGTACCTAAAGTTATGAAACACTTTTTACAACTCTTAATAGTTGCTGGCAGTCTGCTCCTGTGTTACTCATGGCTTCTAAGAACTGGACTCTTCTAGAAAACAGCGTGGCAGGACCCTTGAAAGCACTCAGACCTCCTGGCCCTGTTGTTGCCTTCCTGTAAAACTGTCCCAACCAAAGCACCGACCTCAGTGGCACTTCATGTAACAGCGCCAAGCACGCCTTTTCCCCTGCTGCACCTGCTGACCTCATGTGGTAGGACATTCAGAGGGCAAAGCCGAAGCTTGTTGGAAAATGTGAACTGCCTTGCAGTTATGCCTGGCCACCTGCCAGCCGCGTGTCAGTGCCGTCCTGAGTGCTGAGCCACCTTCTGCGCGTGTGGGGAGCCCTGTCTGTGGAATGCAGGCTGCACGCCTCCCATAGGGGCCACAGAGCCTCGCAGGCTCCCGCGATGAAGACCATCCCCGGCCCTCGCCCCTCCATTCCTCCTGAGCACATGGCTCGTCTCTGTGGGCCAGGCCTCAGAGTACACACAGAAGCTACAAACTTTGTGGCCGAGCATTTAAAAATTATAGATAAAGCCAACAGACCATAAACAAAATAGGTTCTTTCCCCCAGCCCTGATCTTTATCATGGCCTGAAAGTGCCAGTTCCTCAGGCCCCTCTGAGTCGCAGCTGAAACAGAGAATGTGGGTGGAGCTGCTGTCACCCACTCCAGCTGCACCTGTCACGAGGGAGCTCTGTGTACACAGACAGTGCAGTCTGCACAGGGAGGTTCGTGGGAGCTGCCAAGGGCCACCCTGGGCCACCCTTCTAGTCCGGGGCCAGGGCAGGTAATGGCTGCACCACTGCCCTGTCTGGATCTGAGCTATGTTCTCTTCACCTCGTCCCATTCGGGTCTCCTCAGTCCCAAGAGAGATCCCCCTTCACCCTTGCGTGCACGCTCAGGCACCAGAAACCTCACTCTGCTTTGGGAGGGCACTGATTTCCTGTGGCTGAAATCACTTTGACATTCCTCTGGCACCATCTTGCCGCCTCTCATTTATCAAGATTCTATGGGAGACATCCTAGTCTTAGAGTCTGGCATCTTAATCTCTAGCTGAGGGTTTTCATGTTTACTTCCCCGTCTCTTATCTTTCCTTTCTGGGAAGTCAAACTGCCCCCACCAGGCCATTCATGGTGTGGAGGTCGGCATTGTGCGTTCACGCTATTATCCTTCTGCTGTCCTTAGTCAAGTTAGGCCAGGGACAAGTTTATTTGCACCTTAGCACTTGTTCCTGGGTTGTGCTTGAAGGAGTTTTATTTTCCATGAGAATAAAGCTCTGTGCCCTTGCCTGTGGGGCCAGCATCCTCCCCAGGCCTAAGAGGGCGCCCAGCATGCAGGCCCTCGGTTAGCCCTGCCCATGGCTGTCACCCTGGGAGCAAGGGAAGTGGAGGTGGGGCGAGACAGGAGGGGCAGGATATGGCAGAAGGGAGGCTGCTCCTGAGGAACCCACTCTGTACAGAAGAGTGTTTCTTCCCTGAGGTGCCGGAGTCCAGATCCTGGGCCTCCTGCACACCGGCTGAGAGCCCTGGCATTGAGCTACCTTGCTGGCCCAAGAAACTGGTATTGTTTTCACTTTTCTGTAAAACTGAGAGCCTATTTGTTTTTGTCTTTGCCTTTCTCCTTAGGCTAAGAGTTTAGAAAATGAGAAAAATGGAGCACTCAACAAGATCCTGAAAGGCAACATTCGCTTGGGAAAGTTAGAGGAGAAGATCAAGGTAGGTTGTACTTTCCTCGGGGAGCATGTTTTCCCATGAGAAAGGGGTCTTACAAATGTAGGTTTTGATGTTTTAAAAATGACCTTCCTAGTAGGTTTTTTTTTAAAAATTTATTTTTATATGTATATTTTAGATATTTGTTAAGTTGTGCTTTTATGGTACTATTCATTATAGGGAATTTGTACCTGTACGTGATATGAGGGTGGGGTTGTGAGACAGGGTTTTGCTGTGTGAAATTTAGGCTGACCTTGAGCTCACTCAGTAGCCTAGACTCTGGCCTTGAACTTGCAGAGATCCTCCTGCCTCAGCTTCTCCAGTGCTGAGAGTACAGGAATGCACCGCCACACTGTCAAGCAAGTGACATTTTTGCTCTCATGTGTCCCTAGTCATCTACAGAGTAAAGCAGGAGGAAGTCTTGCTGATGGCGTTGGCTGCCATGTGGCTTGTGTGCTGCGGCAGGCACGCGAAGGAGCCCTCTCCGTCGGCATGTGAGCCACGTCATCCAGCAAACACGGATCAGACACTCTGGTGGAATCGCGGCGTTGGCACTTCGCGATAAATAAGTGCTTGTTGGTTTCAGTTTGGGCACTTGTCTCCATAGGGCTCCTCATTACTGTCTGAACTCATCAGACAAATTTTGGTACTTCTACACAACAAAATACCATACAGGAGTTTGTTAAAAAATAAAAATAAAAAAGAGGTAAGAAAATTCTCCAAGCTGTGTTGTTACGGGACCTTCCAGCTCTGTGGTCCAGCCCAGCATTTGCTGGCCTAGGTAGAGAGCAGCACTGGCCTCCTGCCTTCTTGCCCTCTCCCCGACCCTCCCCCCAGCTTCTCTGCCCAGAGCAAGTGTTGTGGTTGTTGCCCTGGCCGGTGCCCACCAAGTTCTGCTCCTTCTCCTAGGCTGTGCTCCAGCTCACAGCCTGGCTCCCCCTGGGCAGGCCAGGGAGGCTGAGGCAGGAGAACCCCAAGTTACTAATATATATAGCAAGACCCTGTATTAAACTAAAAGATAAGAAAGGGGCTGAGGATGTATCTCAGTGGGAAGGGCCTGGGTTCAGTCCCCAGGACTGCAAAAAAATTTTTTTAATTAAAAAACAAGATAAATAATATGCTTTATTTCACCTGGAAATATAAAATGCGCATGTAACTAATTCTCCCACCAGAGGGAATATTAAAAACAGGTTATTAGAATATCTTTAAAATATCGAATTCCAGGCATGGGGTGCATGCCTGTAATCCGAGCAGGGAGGTAGGAGGTTTGCCATGAGTTCAAAGCCAGCCTGGGCTGCACAGTGAGTTCAAGGCCAGCTTGAACTACGTAGTGATACCGTGTCTCAAGGAGACTAAGAAAAGAAAATAAAATCATGTGAACTACATAGCAAGACTAAGACAGCAGTTTGAGATCTGCGCAGCTTGTGAGAGCCTCACGTACTATACAATAAAAGGTAAAGAGCCAGACTTCTATCTCTAAGAAATGAGCCAGGCTTCTATCTCTGTCATCTGTTTGAAAATAGAGTGCTAGGCCTTGCTTGCTGCATGCATGGGGTTTCTCTGATAAAGCAAAGCACAACTTACTGTCCAGTGTGACCACTGGTTCTTTGGTATCTTGGGTTTTTTTTTTGTTTGTTTGTTTTGTTTTGTTTTGTTTTTTTTCTTAGAGTCTTATAGTGTTGCCTGGGTTGGCCTTAAATTTTTGGACCCAAACAATTCTCCTACCTCAATTTCCCAAGTAGCTAAGGCTACCGATGCCTGCTACCTTGCCTGGCTGTGGTACTGTCCCTTGACCCCACAGGGGTCCAGGAAGCAGACCGCGCTGAAGCTGGGCTCTGTTGCCTGCGGTCGGCTGGAGCAGCAGGAAAGAAAGCTGTCCCAGAAGAAAATGTAGAAGTAGATTAATTTGTAAGAATAACTAGTTTGTTCCGTGATGGTGATATGTTTTATTTAATTTTTTCCATGGCATATAAAAAGGTATAATACAAATTAGTTTAGTTTTATTTTGCCTGAAATGTTTTAAATCATTTTTATGACTGTGTGTATGTGTGTGTGTGTGTGTGTGTGTGTGTGTGTGTGTG